AAACCATTGGGACATGAAAAGGAGATTTACTTAATTCTATGGAAGAAGGATGATAAATTACTCTAAATCTCATTTTTATTAAAGTTTCATGACTAACATCATCAGTTCTTCTCCATTTATTGCAAACTCATTGAAAATTCTGTGGTCTGTTCGTCTTCATTCTCCTCAAGTTAAAGAAATGATTTTTAAATAAAGTTATTCGATTGGACTTTGATGATGTAGTAGATGTTATAAAGATAACAATTTCGGGTTAGAAGAAATACAGACGAGATTATTGGAAATGAAAAATTGACTTTTTGGGGATTCTTTAATAACTTTTAAAATTCAATGTTTTAATAACGAGGGAAAAATTGATTTTAAATTATGATGATTATCATTATGGATTGATTTGATTTTGATATTATTTTCTTCAAAAAATTAAATCGATTCAATTTTTGATTCATTTAAATTTATTAAAATTTATATTTTTTGTGAGCAGTCATGGAAATTAGAATTGAATTTTTGGATATTTGATTTAAAATATTAAAATTAAATTTAAAGCTTTTTTGGGGTTCTTTTTTTATTAAAATTGAATTGAATTTTTAAATAATTTGAAATTTGTTTTCAAAATTTAAATTTATTTTGACGGTTTTTTTTTTAATTTTATTTGACCGTTGTTGTTGAAGAGGTTAAGTAAGGTTTTTATGCCATCTGAAATAGTTTAAATACTTTTCACATGGCTTTTCCATGCGAGTAATAAATAAATAATAATAATATTTTATCAAATTTTGATAAACCTAGTTAATGATTTTTAGAGCTTTAAATAAATCTTTCCACCTTAAATGTGTTTAATCCAGTTTAATCAATAAGGTTTCATCAAAAGTCCATAACACTTCAACTTTACGACAACTATAAAAAGCACAAAAAAGCTTCGACAACTTAACAAAATAAAAAAAATTAACCCAAAAATCTCAAAACTAATGTCGGACATATTTTCAAATTTCCCAAGCATGTAAAACATAACATAACATAAAATCAACAAAATGAGGCAGGTGGAGAGCATGTTACAAGATTGCTAGTTTAATATCACATTACCTTTTGTATTTTATGAACATTTAAGATTTTACATGTGCCTTAAAACCAAAGAAATTCAAACAGACACATCTTTGATGTTAAAAATAATTTTTTCTAACAATAGATTTTGGTTTTGGAGCCCTTTTTCCATGAATGTGTTGCAATGACCCCAAAAAAATAAATTTTGTTCATCTTAATCTAGTTAGTGAGGAAAAGGAGCAAATAAAAAGAAAGTTTGTGACAATTTTTGGTGAAATGTATGTATTTGGGTGGATCTTAGAGTCCTTGAGAATAATTTTTCGGTCGCTTTATATTTGGATGAATATTTGAGGATGTTATAGATTTTATTATGTGATGTAGAGTTAATTCCGGCATTTAGATTGTGAATTTATTGAATATTGAAGGTATTGAATGTCTTATTTATGGTTGATTGACTTTAACTTAAGCTTTTTAATCTAATAAAGAATTGTTATGCCTGAAAGCCATAGTTTAATGTTCTATTCATTAATAATCATGGCTTGAGATATTTTTGACACTTCCTTGAATACATCTTAGCTTCAAAACTTCTAAAAATCCCAAAAAATCAAAATTTCTGATTTAATTTTAATGTTTTCACAAAAACCCAATATTAAATTCCTTACTTCAAGCTATTTAAAGCATCCTTAAAGAACGATTCACTCCTCAATCGCATGCACGATGACTAAGGTCAGAAAGATGTTGTTATGTTAATCAATCCTTTGTTATTGAAACTAAAATAGACACAAAAAGGGTGTAGAATCATCTTATAAAATATATAAAATTTAAAGCACAACATATCGATTTAAATGTGTGATCAAAGAAGTTAGAAAATTGGCATAAGACGGAGGATGAATGACATAGCATAACATAGGATATAGATAATTTGGATTTTGATAGTTTTTCTTGAGATTTTGAGAATAAATTGATTTTCTTTAATTCTTAAAAACCTTTGGCCAGTCCTTTGGTTGTTCTTTTTTACTGTCGATATTAATAGGGGGGAGGGGGGCTCTTTAGTTGTGTGAATCGTTATAGTCAGTAAAATCATTGAGCCATTTAATTTGTTCATATTCGGATACTGGCGTAACTAAAAAAATTCACTCTAGGCCCTAGAGTCTAGGGTGCTCTTTAAAAATGGATAAAATCTCATATAAGTTTGGTCACAGAAATGTTACAAGATTTAGTCTTGAGAGGTCTAAATACGAAAAATTGATTAACATGGAGCACTTAATCCCTTCCGAAATTAGACTTTCTGTTTCATTTGTATATAAAAGCTAGATATATCCCTTAAGTCAGACGTATGCTTTAACACTCCACTAAAATACGCTAAAATGATTATGACAATTGAAAACTTTCATGCTGACTGACATCACTATCAATTATTTCTCCAAAATTGGTCACAGTCCTTGAAAATAAATCTCAATTTTTCCCGATTTCTACCACAAATTCACCAGATATCCACCTACAAATACGATAAAGCATTGCAAAATCATATGCTTAAGAAAGGTCGAGCAGCAAAAAAAAAATGTTTAAACTTTTCTTTTCTTTAAAAACATTTTATGCCAAGACAATGAACACTAATAACAAAAGGGAACTGAAAACAAAAAGAGCGTGGAAGGAAGAAAGTAAAGTTTGACATGTGCCAACAAAAAAAAAAGAGAATATTTTTGCTCCTATGGTTGTGTCAGCCTCATAACTTTTAATTAGCATCGAAAAGAACGACAGAAATTTTTTTTTCGCGAAAATAACTTTTCTCTGCCCTTATTTTTGTGGATGTTTCTATTTTTAGCAGAGTTGGTAGACATTTGGATTTTGCTGTCCTTTAAATGATGGATGATTAGGGTCATTTATCTTCATTTGTGTGACTTGAGACTCATTAATGAGTTGCAATGTCACGGCTATAGTTTAGAATTGCGAGAAAAAATATTTAATGAGCTAGACGTGATCCCCCAAAAATGGCACTCAACCCTGATCAATACTGAAACTCATCTCGGCTTTTCCTTTCTCCATCCAAAAAAAGGACTTGTGCACAATCTTATTAATTAAAAGATGAAACAAAACAAAATGTGAAGAGAAAAGAAAAACAGAAAGAGAAAGGGCGACAGATGGGTGACAGAAGTCAAGACATTGTCGCTTGCAATTCAATGAAAAAAGTTCTTTACTATTTTTGCTGACTATGAGATGAATGATTTTAGTTTTTTGCAATAAGTTGGATTTTTTGGTGATGACTGTTTAGAATATTAGTTGTTTGTTGTTTCAAAGAGTTGCTAGGCTGAAATGCAATTAGGATTAAGTTTAGATATTGCCAATTTGTTTCTTAATTAGTCAAGATGTATCAGTGGTGAAGAGGATAAGTGTTTTGCTATTTTACGAATGTAAAGTGAATTTCCTATCCTAAGTTCGAGCCCTGATGGTGTTTTTCTCATTTTTACTGATTTGTATAAGAATCTAGCAACATAAGTAAAATGCATGGAAATTATTCTAGTTCTTTGTAAGTTCATACATTGTAGTTAAGAGCTCGATGCAGGAATTCAGCTCAAGAAGTCGGTTTCCAAAGAACATTTGGATAAACCTTGAAACTTTGTTGTGATATGATCATTTATCTATCAGAAAGCCATCCAATTTACCCGATTTCTTAAATTTCTATTTCTTAATTTTCCAATTTAGAAGCACTGCGAAAGTTGTTCTTATTGTACTACTCAGACTAATGAATCAATACCACTCTTGCCATACAATCCCTCGCACAAACTCATTCAACCATTCTTAATATCTACAATTTCATTTATACATTTTCTTCATTAACTTCTGAGTTTCTGTTCCTTTTATTGCACAAGAATCTCTCAATCGTAAATATTTACAATATTGATACAGCATTGTCTCGTGCGACTACACAATTCTCATTCACTATACATCTTGACATTCTCATAATTCTTTCTTGTTTGTGCCATTCATTTTTAATGGATTCTTATACTCACGTTTTACAAAGTCTTAAACATTATGGATGGCATTCAGTCTACTGAAGTTCTTCAAGTGCTTCATTTTTATGGCTCTGTACACTTTAAGTGGAGATTTTGGTCATAAAAAGTTAAACAAAAGTTGCTTAATTGAAGCCGATTTCCGTAAGAATGTTCGACTCATAGAATTTGTCCTTGGGAATACTTACTAATATCTTATCATCAGTCACAGGGAATTTTATAGAACATCTAGCAACACAGAGATTTATATTTCATGCTTAGTTTATTAATAATTTAAATGAGTTAACTTGCTGTAAAGCTGCGGATATTTTTCATTATTGCATAAATTAAGCTAGGAGAAGAAGAAAATTATGGCAGAAAAATACATCGACTGGCATAAGGCAAAAGGCAGCAAAAAGGGAATAGGATGTCAAGAGATTGATGAGTCGTGCCTAAAATAATTAATTTTCTTCATTTTTCCTCGTCATCTTTGCTCCCATAGCGCAAGTGTTATTACCGTGAATTTTTACGGCTGACTTTCGATGCTCTATCTTTTTGGATATTTTTTCTTTGTTAACCAGGGCTAATATTTTGTCTGACTACCTGCTAAGGTTCAACGCCTCTTTGAATTAATCAAAAATAGCAAAGAAATTCAAATTAAACGAAATTTGTTTATTTGAGATTCACACCTCAAGTTTTTAAGTTGAAATTTTAGCTTAAATTAAAGTTTATTGGGTAATTGAAAGATTAAGAAAGACTCAAAGAGGACGAGCAAGGCTATTAATACCTAATTCGTTCAAGGAATCAGTCAAAATAACACAAAGATTGATAATTTAAACTTTATAAAAATGCAAAATTTTTTTAAATAAACTTTTGACAAAAGTGCGGGAAAATTCAAAAAATAACGACTTTTTTCGCAATTAATAGATTCATGATGGTAATTTTGTTAACTTTTTATTTTGTTCTTTCTCATTTCAGATGAAAAATGTGTCATTTAATGAAAATATAATCCTCGAGCTGGCCGTAAAAAGATGCGAATTCATATAAAAATTTGGACGTAAGCTAAACATTAATGCGACGGATTAGAACGACATTGTTGACGCCAGTCATAATAAAGATTCGCATGTGCACAAGAACGAAAGAAGATTTAACAGGAACATTTATTTAATTTTTTTCATCCACAAAAACCGGAAACTATAATGTGAAATGAATATATACAAATTAATTTACTTTATACTGGCTGTAATATTTGCCAAATGTAAAAGTACAATGAGAGTTGTATCGGCATCGCCATCAACGATTTTTACAAAATATCCAACAACGACACCATGCGGTGGCATATTAACAGAACGACGTGGCATCATACAAACACCAAATTTTCCAAATCCCTTTCATGTGCCACTTTCATGTGTTTGGATAATCGATGCCTCAACAACAGCATGGGGATTGCCAAATGTTTCGATAAATGTTTATTTAACCCAACAATATGTCCTCAGTGGACTTACATTCAAGGAATATATGTATTATAGCGATGACTTTAAAGTACCTAGTGAGATGGAAACTGTCGTAAAAGAGGAAAATGTCACACGAACTGCATCAGTTCAAGCTAATTCGCCTTTCTTAGAGATTAGCTTTCAATTAGATAACCTTTATGGAACGCAATTGAGAGTGATGGACCATTTGTTAGATGTTTATGGTTTTAACATCACATATGAGGTCGACATACCCAAACCATATCAATGCAATTCACAACTTTGTAGCTTTCTTGGCAACTGTTATGCAAACTCAAACTATACGTGAGTACAAATCCTTTTTTTTTATTTTTCACTCAATTATGAAATTTTGTGGATGGTAAGTGAATGTATGTCAACTATTTTTTGTGGTGATGGCGTCACAATGCGGTTAATGGTGATGTGAATTGGTCAATTGAATGAAATTTTAATTAAAAGTATGTGGTTTATAGCTGCATGATAATAGCAGTAGCAATATCTCATGAAAATAATTAGTTCACTCTTAACTGTTTTAGATGCTTAACGAAGGATCATTATCTCAATTTCAATAGCTATTCTAATTCCATGTCCAGAGGTAATAATTACCCAATTTTCTATAGTTTTTTTTTATGTTCTCGATGATCATTAATAGCCATTCCCTAGATTCCAATTTTCTACTTTTATTACGTTCAATGAGAGACACGTCGACATGGCTCATTAAAAGAAACAATAAATCATTTGTGCCATAATCATGATGATAATTAGAAATTGTGGATGACAATGATTCTGTTTAGCCATTTAGAAACAATAAAGGGAAAATGCATTGGGGTGATGGAAATGTGAGAGTCATAATTGAGAAAGTGCTAACAATGCATGTTGATTGAGGGAATAATTGGGTTTGTGTAGTGGAATTATGTTGAATGTTGCAGAATTTTTATGAGGAAAATTTGAAAATTTAGGGTTTCGTACCCTCTTAAAAAATATTATCGGTTTGGCGTGTCTTCCAGCTTCATACATAGATTCAATCATTCCCCCTTTTACAAACGCATTTGTGATAGTAAGAATAATTTTTATTTTTATCAAAAAAAATGATCCCATCAACATTCATTCCATACTTTATGCTAACAGAAAGTTAAAGTTTTACAATGATTTGTGCTGATGCAATGGAAAAGTTAAATTCTGCAACGAATCTGAAATTGGAAATTTGTTGAGATTAACTTTGCATTTTCTGTGGCTTCTTTGTCTTTCTCTTTTCTGTGGCTTATGATAATTTTCCTCAGAGCATTATTAGTGCTCGACGCATTTCAATTGCAAGTTTATTGTTGGGTGCTTGTTTAAAAAAGTTGAACATTGCAGATGAATCAACATTGAATTGATAAGTTTTATAGAATTTATGTTTTCTTGCTCAAGGGTATGGTGGCTATTAAAGCTCCTAAACAATTCATAAATTTGTGCAAAAATTCAATCTAAGGGTCTAGTTTCAATTATTTTTCAATGCGTCACTTCTTCATCCATATTATTCATGATTGTGGTAATAACCGCAAAAGAGATTATCACAATTACAATTATCATCCTAAATATTGACTATGCTTATCATGATTACAAGCAAAAAATACGATAAACATCGACCATTAGAAGCACAAAATTTAATTTAGTTGCAGACGCGTGTAAATGATACTTTTATTGGATATGATTAAATTTGATATGGAATCTCGAAGTTTGAGTATCGATTGGAATGTTGACTCACATATTGTGATGTAGGAAGAATGTCCAACGTTATTTGATTGGAATTCACAATCAGACCACATAAATTCCAATACCTTTAAAAATCAATCTTCGTAACACAATTTGCTTCCTACGAATTACATTTTTCAGCATTGTGGATAAAATTCTCTTGATCTATATAACACCTACATCCAATAAATGTGAAAATACTAAGATACGGTAGAAATATGGGATTTAAAAAGAAGAGCACTAATGGCTAGCGTTCAGAGACAAAAAAAAGTCATTTTAATTCCTCTCGAGTACCGTCTGAATGTCCATTAATATGCTCTTAACAAAAAAGGTTTATAAGCCAAAAAACGAACCATTTAAATTTAATGACATTGACAGAGTGAGTCTAAAGGTCATGGAAAGTCCTCAGAGACAGCAGACTTGACTTCTTTGCAGTCAAATTCATTCATCAAGCTGAAAATTTATTTCGTAATGAGGCATGTACGAGAATTTTTGCAGAAGGTGTCAGGAATTTGCGAAAATTGAACAAAAATTCCATCCAAAAAAATAAAACTCAACGCGCTCAACGAATGTTTCGCATATTTTTTGAGGGAGCTGTGAAAAAATTACAATTGTGCTCGTACATTTGGAAAAGAATTTTTAGCTTCCCACTAAATGCTGATGAGTGATCAAATGGAAAGAATATTTTCCCACGGAATTGTTTACTTTTTTATTGGGTCTGAAGCTATATTTTGTATGAATACAACGCCATAATAAATAACGGAAGAAGTTCGAAAAATATTATTTCTAGATAGACATCATTTGTGATTGAAAATAATAGAAATTTTCAAAATGGCGCAAATTTGTTCCACTTCGAAAAGTTTTTCTTCAAATTTTCTTGATATAAGCGACATTTTAGCTTGAAAAAGTGATTATAGGCTGCAAAAAAGCAGCAATGATATAATTTTTAAAAGCTTTTTAAATTAATTGCTTTAAGATTTGAAATATTCATTAAAATATAGTTTTAATTTTGGAAAATATTTGTTTTGAAATAAAAAGCTAACCAGATTCGATTTTAATTGATAAAGAAAGCTTTATATATTCTTAAATACTGAAAATACATTTAGTTTACATTTACAATTTGATATGCAAGTTGAAAGAATTTTACGAAAACATCACTCATCTCAACATTTATAACAAGATATTTTCAAAACTGTAGATACGTTATTGCATTTGAAAGTTGGAAGGATTTTTAAAAAATTAAATATTTTATTCAAAAATATTTTTTAATATTTTCCAATGAAACCTAGGAATTTTTTAATATTTTATCGTGTAGATCAATGTATTTATGCTTTTGAAAGCTAAAATATAGAAATCTATGTTCATCTATGAATTTTAATCCCACATGCCAATCATTAAAACTCAATTGCTTTTATCAAAAATACATGCAGCCCCTCCTCATTATTATGAGCAACATATACTAAATGATCCAAACGTCCTTCAATCGTCCAGACTTATGGCTTTTCTACGATTTCTTTCGTTCAAAGTTCAACATGAAAATTTATCTGTAAACAGCGCAGCATTGTTATCATCACCACAATTCTGTAACAGAATCATCATCAATTACATTCACTTGCAACGTCCATACCCAACCTCCCCAACATGTTTCATAAACAATAAAAAATAATTTCTGACGAGAAATCTCATTACAGGTCCTATTACTGCCACTGTTATGATGGATACTCTGGGGTAGATTGCAGCAGTGGTCCACTGTGTACAAATAATGAAAAGTACTGCGAGAATGGAGGCGTGTGCAAGTAAGTGTTATTTCATCCCTTCTTATCCAATTGCTGTATTATTTCAAGCCTTGAATTGCTGGGCAATGTCTTATCCACACCAGCAGCGGAAATCATTCGTTTCGTTGGTGTTGGACCATTAAGCAGTTTGCTATTTTTTGCATTTTGTTCCATAAAGTAAACACTTTTTTTTCTATTTTAATTCTTTTCAGGCACGTTGGTGATTTGAATGTAAAATGTTTGTGTCCTTACGCATACCGAGGCAATAAGTGTGAAACTCACGAATTTCTAAACGATGAAAATGGTAAGGTAGACAGAGAGAAAATTTATATGAGTGAAAATGAATGAAGGAAGTAGGAATGTTATAGATTGCCTTAGGGATAAAAGCGCATTTTTGGTACATGTTAAAAACTTGATTTGACCTAGTCCTTATCTTACTCATTTGAGTTACTACAAGGTTAGACTCTATTCATTCCTGGTGAAGTTCTTCTAATTCATTTGGTTCCTGGCAAAAAATGCAAGCAGTTGAGGTTCTTCCCATCAAGAATTTATATGATAAAATTGTACTAAAGACCAACCAACGTCAGCTTTTCCTTGCTTATGTCAACAAATTGACTCAATCCTCCAAAAAAAAAGTACACAGCACAAGAATGAATACTGAAAAGTCAATTTTCCATTTCCTTCATTTTCCTCGCTCAATCTTTTTCTTGTGCTTTCAATTCTCGCACCCATTCATGCTTAGTAATGAATTCATTTTTATTTACATGTCATATAAAACAGAATGTAATTTATCATCAAAAGACTCAACGACAACTGACGACAGTATAGACTACATTGCATGCTCCAGTAAGTGCTTAAACGATCTCAACAATATAGAGCTGTGTAGTTGTCATCAGAACAACGAGATAGGTAAGGAAAAAAATGTCTTTATTTTAGCTATTACAGTGACGTTAGACATGACAGTGTGTGGATGTAGACGTGTACCAAAAAATACATTTTTCTGTAAGATAATGTACATTGCTGCTTAGATGATGTATTTATTCAATTTCATTGTTTCGTAAATTGATGTCAAAATATTGTTGGTGCTGCTGTGATGAGTTTTTTTTAAAGGAAGCAAATTGCTATAAACATTGAATTAGATTCAGATTATGTAGATTGAATGTTAGAGGAATTTCTTTTTGAGAGATATCGACATCTAGAGATTCTGAAGTAACAAAACTTGTTGGGTCAAATAAAAGTGTCATGTGAGGTATCAAGTTAAATGGAGGCAGTGCATTAGAAACACCGTTGTGGTCGAGTAGTTAATATGATGAAAAAAATAAGATTTTATTTCAAATTTAATCAATTCTGAACTTTGCTTTTTAAAGCCTTTCTTGTGTTTAATAGCTTCTTCACAAACTAAAATTACTTCCGAATTTGCCTAGCTTCTCATAACAACTCCTCGTGGGAACCATCCCAACCCCATCTATATTAAATTTTTTATCGTTTTATATTTGCAGCTATAAAAACTCAGTTCTTGATTTCCCAAATACGTTAAAATTAGATGAGATTAACTTTAGAGATATTTAGACATTCAATTAAATTTTACTACAATATCTTCATCCAAACATATACAATTTGTCTCCTTTACACCCATAAACGTAAATCGCAAACTTTTCCATCCACGCCACACTCTCATGATAATAAATCTGTGGAAGAGCGAGAGAATAAAATGAAAAAAAAAGGAGAAAAGGGGCTGTTCACTTATTACGTAACGCGAAAAATTGACTTTTTAGACCCCCCCCCTCGTAACAAAATTTGTATGAAAAAAAAATTTCCTTGTTTGAACCGTAACAAAATCTTAGACCCCCCTCCCCCCCTAAAAGCGTTACGTAATAAGTGAATGGCCCCAAAGATATTTTCGTCTTCTACTAAAAGCTATTACCAGTTTATGCTATAATGGAAGTAACAACAAGAAAAAAATTTACAAAAAATAAGAAAATATTCTTCTTACTTCTGCTTTATGTATCGTAAAGTTAAGTTTAAGCAATATAAAAGGAAATGAGTCCGAAAGTTTCGTTCTTTTTGTGTATGTAGAACTTAAAAACGCATGCTTTTTTTGGACTACCAGATGGTCCATCGTGTAATGCCTTTTTAATGTTCTCAGACATGTCTAGATTCGACTAGACTCGTCAATGTTCTTCTTGAATATCTTCGATTTTTGATTAATTCTTGATTATTCATGGCCGCAGTGGAGCCTTCCTTAATTTAATTGACCTTTGCCAACACGAAAAAAATTCGCAGACACTCAGTCAAACCGAAATAATCGAGCAAATTCACAGCCCACACCAAAATGATGCCGTAAAAATTCATTTGCCATAAAGCAGCAACTATGAATTTAATGTAAACGTTTGTCGTGTTTATTTGTGTCATTTCTGTTCCTCTCCAATTTCATTTTTACTTCCATTGCAATGAAATTTTCTTTTTTTTGGTGCTTTTGTGATGAGCGATAAAAAGAGGTTTTAGTGTCAGCTTCACAACGCTTAATTCTGTTGAGCATCTAAAAAAAATTATATAAAGATTGTTTTTTCGGTTTACTTACATTATTAAAGAATTACATGGGGAGAGGCTTTGTGAGGATTTTAAGCTTTAACATAAGATTAAGAAGGTCATGATGATAAGTTGGGGCGATAACAATGGAGGATTTTTAATGGAAAGTAGAAAAGGCGACTCATCGATTAAACTTGACATTGGTTTGGCATGAAAAGAATGATTGGATTGACGTTATTGTGCTTACTTTTTAGAACGAACTAGTTCCTGACATATACAAATCGTAGGAGATGTTTACAGATGATGTCCACATTTGGTTGACACTGATGGAGAGGAAGTAAGAGTTTTCTCAATTTTTAATGATCATCATTTATAAACGATCTTTTATTTAACTCAATCTGGAGAACAATCTTACTATCAGTATTCCTCCTCTCTAATTCTGCCAGGATTGGAGGTCATAACCGTTGTCTAATCGAACTTCTCTTCTGCATGGTCTAAATTAGTAAAATTACTATCGCCTATATGATAAGCTTTAAAGGCACTGATAATAAACAAAAATCATGGAATGTTCAAGCCATATTCAAAAATTCCAACAAACAAATCCAGTTCCACACCATAAAAATTCCTCACCTTGTTCAATCTAATCCCCCTGGCATAAAAAAGCTTGACATTTCACAGAGGAAACATAATATTGTCATTAAACCATGATGTGCTTAATATTGATTTTATTCATCACAAGACACCAGACTCCTTATTTAAATCTGTTATTGCTACCCTCGACAAATTCAAGCATAAAATTAGCACTTAATTATTTTATTGTTCCCGGATTTGTGCGCTCATTTTCCTTAATTTCTTTATTTTCATTTGAGCTTGTTGAAGAGCACTTGAGGAACTTGAGACGAGTCGCTCTTGAGAAATGTGAGATGAAAATTTCCAGAATTTAATTTTCTTGTATTTCTGTTGCTTGAATTTTCATCTGAATTTATTGGTTAATTGGCATATTCTGGATATAAATTAATAAGTGTCAATTAATGGCTGAATGCTCACATTCAAGCTTAAAAATTGAATAAAAGGATATTTTAATTAGGTCATGACATGTATCGATAATTAATTATTGCTAAATATCGATCTACGATAACAAGATTATATAAAAGAATTAAAAATGAAGGCTTGACAATCAAGTATACATTACTCAATTTCCTAGAATTCATCACGGCAGCACAACATCTCATAATGAAATTTTAATTAACACCAAAAATATTTTAATAATTTATAAAAAAAAATCATTTCTTTTATCACAGGACATGGTCGAGTGAGATTCGAGGTGACACTGAGACTTGGAAATGCCACATTAATAATGGCAAGTGACAACGATAATGAGGACGGAAAGAAGAAACTCAATCCACATTTTACAGCTTTACTTGAAAAATATGTGAGTATATTCATCGCATCTGCATTTGTCATTTTTCTTTATTTTTATGACTCTTGTGGTGCTTGGCTGTAATAGCCCTGGGGCCAACCCGATTTTCTCTTTCTCTTTACTTTTGCTATCTTTTTTGCGTTTACTGCAATGTTGATGTTTTCATAGCGCCTCGTTTATTGAGAGAAATGAGAATTTTTTATGTGCTAGAAATTGATGGCTCGATCAGGACAGCGATGTAGCATAGATAAGATGACGAGTTTGAAGTTTTAGAAACTTTTTTAAATATCAGTTAATATTTTATTGGAATATTCAGCTTTTCTTAATAATTATTCTGCGTATTAAGTTCTTTACCAGTTTCTAAGCCCAGTACTTTCCAGTCAGAGTTGACTGCCAATTCTTATAATTAATTACCACTGCCCATCATTGATTAGTGTACCACTTTTTGGGTGAAGTCAATACCGACATTCCAACTTTGGTATCTTTAGCTTCAATTCTATCTTAATCTCAAAAATTAGCTGAGGACAAATTTAAGTTAATGGACTAGTCGGTTACTTCACAGAGGTACTTAACTGCTTCCACGTTGAATAAGCTCATCAATTTCATTGCCAATAATCAAAAGTGAAATAAGATTGCCTTCATTCTTTAACAACCAGATAAGGGATGCAGAACTGTCAAATTAAATTTCGATCATTTCATCAGTTCCCCATTCTTCAACATTCAGAACGTTAAAAAGTTTGTTTAAGCTAGTCTTTATAAACTTATCTTAGCTCTAAGCTTGCATAAAATAAACTTTCAATTTCCCAGTTACTAGGCAGTCAGATAAAGTCAAACATTCCATGGGAACTATAAAACCCAACGAAGATAAAAGGGAAATCGATGATGTATAAAAAATGTGTATGTGTCATTGACTGTTTATGAAAAAAAAATTATTATTATCTTTATGACTTTTTGAACTAAATGTGTTGATTGAGGCTACAATTTAATGTACACAGATATCCTCAAATAATTTTTATCCTTTTTTTTCTGAACCCGAGAGATGAGTTAAAGAAGATAGTTAAGGTTTGAATTGATTACTGGGTTAAGTGGCGCATTTTTCTGATGGATCAGAGAGAGGCTTTGGACTTCACGAAACTGCTATCATAGCGATAGCTCTCTTCTAAATTATTTATAAAACGCTTTAGTAACGTTCATGAGCCTTAAAACTAGAGTAATATTTGATCACAATCAGACATTATGACTTCATTCTTTCCATATCCTCAATCACTTCCATTTCCCAGTAATATCCAAAAAAGGAGGATGATGTAAAAGACAAATAGCACAGATAGACAGATGGTCATATAGATTTATATTTGAGTAAGCAATAGAAGCAGCAGCCGAAAAAAATCACATAACATGATCTTAAACGTATGATAAACGAATTATGACCCAAGAGACGATATATGTGCTTGTATCAACATAACTATAGATAGATTGAGATTTCAAGTCAGGCAAAAGACATAGAAATATAAACAGATGGTCTTTGAGATGGGATTCTTTAGAATGAAATCTATGTCCATGATTTGTCATGCCAAATGGTGTGGGCATAAAAGAAATGTGGACAATTTGAGAAAAAGGCTTTAGCATGTCCACGTGAGTGAGGATTTCTTGGAAGGTTTGGATTTTTCATATGAAAATCTTCAAAATTTCTGGTAAAAAAATCTTAAAAGACACTCAATAAACCAAGAGAATAAAAATAGTTCCGTAAACTTCCTTAAAAGCTTGCATAATTCTCACCCAAAATCAAATCAAGGACTTCTTTTTCTCCATCCTCTTAAAGAGATATAAAGTAGCACAGAGAGGCGTTGATATGATGTCATATTTGGGTTGGACTCTCCAAAAATATTGTTATAAACATTTTTGTAATGCCTGTCAAAAGGAAAAGGCCGAAAATTTCAAATTATTCTTGTTTTCTTCCGTTTTCTGAAATTCTTATTACTCCTTCACACTTCAATATTCTTCCATACCCTCATTTTTGTCAAGAGTCGACCTTTAGCTTTCGAGTATTTACGATAGAAAAAAAGTATGAAGAAAAAAGTGTGAAAGTCAATAAATTATTGAGATGGCTGAATGGGTGCCATTCGAGTTCTATGGCTTAGATTTGGTTTGAAGCTTTAATGTGGATTTACGTTATTTGGAAGGGGATGCTAGAAAGGTTCGAGCTTTATTACGTTGCTTACCAGAAAATTAGCAAAAAGAGGTGGCAGCATCACTTAACTATTTAAATCACGAAATTAATAATTTAAATTGAAAGAACTTTCAATTTTAAAATCTGTTGCTGCTTTAATAAATGACATATCTTAAAAAAACTTTGCAATCAAGCATCTCTACTTCTATCAATTAAACCAACACCAATCAATACATCCACTATAAATCCTTCTTCATGGAACATTCTCTCTCATAGCTTTGATCGTCTTCCGCACGAGTGAATAAAAGTATTTTTATATTGGAAACTTTGTCCAGCTTGATAACTTTTAATGGCAATTTTTCTTTCGAGTGTGAATAACAATTAATTATTATCGAGAAGAAAATGAAGATAGTAAGACAGAAGATGACATAAATGGCTATTTCATTAACTTTATGAGACATTATTTGAATTCCTCTGGCATGTTTGCTACTAATTGAGTGAGTTTGAATGAGACGAGCGTGTCAGGAAAACTTTGTTTTAGAATTCTTGATGAATATTTTTATCTCTGGAAGTTGAAAGTTTGAATGTTCTTGTTGGATAATAGATGATGTGATGGAATTTAAGAGAAATGATTTTAAAGTTTTATTGAGTTGTTAACGGCTTTTTGAGATTTAAATGTTTATCAGTCGAGTGTATTTTGAATTTTATAGCAAAAATTATAGCAAATAGAAATCATAACGGATTTATTAAATTAAAAACGTTTAATGTCGCTGAAAAATGAATTTTATAGCAAAAATTATAGCAACTTTAAATCGCAAATTTTAGTTGAGTATTTAAAGCAAGTTTGAAATTACCAATGAAATTTTCTTTTTGTGATTTTTTAAACTGTCTTAAACAAAAACCATATTTTAGTCCACAATTGAAAGTTCTAGAAACAAATTACCCTCTTCAAATTCAACCTCGAAATCACAATCTACTAACCTTAAAAATCTTTGTATTTGTTCAAAAATAAATCTGACATTTCCAAAGGTAATCCACCAATTCAAATTGATAATAAAGATGCAAACAGCTTAATATATTACCCACAAAATATATCAAAGAGGCCCTCTTTACTCGCTTATTAGGAAAATTCAAAAACGATGTTTCTGACAATCTTGCGATTTTATTTTAATTTTTTGATGGTTTTTGTTCTTCTCGCATGCACACAATAATCTATTTAGGTATTTACAGCTTTATGTTTTGCTGTTGCTTTACAAAAGAAAAATTCGAGAACATTTCAAGGAAAAAGAAAATATTTGATTTGAGGGGCTGTTTGTCAATAACGTATTCTGTTTAAGGGATAAATGAGAACTAAATAAGACTGAATTTTTTTTTGAATCAACTTCACTTGATTTTTCTTTGAATAAAGCTTAGATACGAATTAACCAGAGTTGTTATTCTGGATTGACGTAATTTATAAATAACCCCAACATATATTTTATTTTTCATGAAAATAAAAAACAAAATAAAATGAACGAATGCAAATGAAAACGAAAGAAAAGAAGAATCAAGTAGGTTTTTGAAGCGGGAAATTTGAAGAAAGTAGAAACAAGTTAGGAAGTTATCAATGTAAGGTGGCACTAGCGCCTTTTTCTAATAAAAATTCTATTAAAGTTTTTGGTATGTTTCTCAAAATGGCAATTTCTAGCTCGGTTTTAATTTCTTTAAAAATACAGCACATAATAAGAACAAAATAAACAAATTAAATGTAGATCTTCCTGTGTAACATATTCGCGCATCAGAGTATAATTTTTGCCATAGCTATGTTATAGATCTAAAGAAGAAATAAATCATGATAAATAAGAAATACAAACGTAAATGAAGTAGCTTTAATTTCCCTGAAGAACGCACATAAATTTTGCTGTTTATGCCAAAAACAAAGAATTCCTTTTATTTAGACTTTGTAATTTATTTGTTTGATGAAATCTTCATTTTTATAATTTAAATTAAATTTTGTGGCTTATTATAAATAAATACGATGAAGGTTTTGTCTTTTAATAATTATTGGATCAAATCATTAAAGGAAATTAATAAGAATTTCTTTATAAATCTTACAAAAACAGCAACAGTTGCTAAGCTTTACTTCCAATGTTTTTTTTTGCGTTGCAAATCAATTCTGACTAAAAGATTTCAATAATAGAACTGACTCTAGTAAAGATGTCTAACGGCAGTTAAACAACCAAAGTAGCTAATGTTTAATTCAATTGTGCAAACCAGAGGAAGTGTTCAGGAACTAGAAAAATGAAAAAATGATAAATTGAGAGGAGTTTTTTCAAAATTTGTAGAGTGTGGTTCAACTCCCTCCACTCTTAAATACGTGTCTGGCCTAACAGTCTTCAGCCTCAGATCAGATTACAGCATCTGATTAGAAAATAAAGAAGAAAAATCTCGATGCGATTTGTTGTGTCTTGTCATTTTTTATTAGAACGAATGACTTGTGAGTGAAATGATTTAATTAGAAGCTTCCATGATTGGGAAATTCATTTGAAGTTATAACCATTTCAGCCCATAACTATAGATCTATTTTAGAAATGAACATTTCTTTCCCATTTTCATATTTCTTTATAAATTTGTCAATTTCAGATCATTAATTAAAATCTGTTAATTTAAAAATTAGAGCCTGTAGATGCTGTATTGAAATTTAAATTTACAGTTTTTCATTTAGGAATCTCACAAAATTATCAAAGACAATTAAAATTCTTGAATTAATAGAAAATTGGTTGACAAATTCCAACTTTTTATTCAACACAAAAAAAACATTTTATTCATGATCATCAAGAATGTCTTCCGAGACAAAGATGCTTCTTTTTATTAGCAGACATTTCAATCTCAAACAAAAAATCTTTTCACAGAAAATAAAAACTCAAATATTTTTGAAATTCAAATCTCATTAAAAATTCAACAGAAATTCTTCAAGGCAATTTCGTATCCACAATTTTAGTCATTATTTAATTAATTGAGTGTAATTTTTGAGCTCAAATCAGAATTTGCTCAGCAGCAATATTAAAGCACAAGTGAAAGAATGCCGATGGGATTTTTGAGAGAGAAAAACATTTCTTTGATTTTAATTTTTACACAAAAAATTTTTAAAATTCAATTAAAACAAGACTTGAATTTGAGGAAGTTTTTTGAGGCAGAATTAGTAACACAGAATATTTTCTTGTAGGTTAAAGCAGGGGTGTTTTTTTGAATTGAGGGGCGTGGTTAGTCTTTTTATGAGAGTTCTGGATTTTTTTTATAATTTTTTATTTTTTTTTTGGAGGAATTAGATGATTATTTAAACCAGTGTTGGCCCACCTATGTGCCGCGGTACACTAGTTTGCCAAAAAAAACTTCTAAAAATTTCACAAACCGTGTGCGATTTTGGTCATCGTTTACTAGATGTGCTGTGGCACAAAAAATGTTAGCCACCCCTGTTTTGGACATAACTCAGGAGAAAATGTTGAGAACAAAACCTTACTTTGGTTACAATAAAAATAACGAATTCCTCTTCTTTAAGAAATTAATTCCTAGCCCCTTACTCCTGTTAATTATGCCTCTGTCTAAACGCTAGTGTAATTTTGCATAAAACAAAAGCAGCTTGTCTCACAGGAGAAGGAAGGAAAATTCATTGTTTTCCATTTTCTTATTCAATAAAGCAACAGAAAATTTAATACATACTCATGTAATAATTCTCTCCATCTCCCACACAAAACAAAAAATTTTCATCATGTTTCTTGTAAAATAAAAGTATGCTTTTTAGAGAAATACAAGCACAAAGATACACACGGTGAAAAAAAATAAGAGGAACAGGAAAAATTTTGTATTATAGAGGAAGTGCTTACGGTATGAATAAAATTATATGATATGTATATAAAAAATTTATTTTTTGCTTCTTCTGAGGTAAATACAATTTTTTTTTGAACTGGAAAAAGGAACGGCAAGACTTCAATGTGTCTTGTGCTCTTATGTCGTCTAATGCTTTTTGGCATCCCTTGGATAAATTTTGTGGAGGCTGACTTACAAAATTTGTGACACAATTTTTGATGCTTTCCATTGATTTTGCTTGGAATAAGCTCTCAATTAGAAATAGACACGTCTTGGCCGCAAGATTAATAAGAAAAAATTGTAATTGGGTTTTTAAATTCGTAAACCATGATATTGATGATTTGAAACCAAATCTAAAAAGTTATTGCTTATGGAACATGATATTAAGACAAGCAGGCTTTATTTTGAGACATTTGACCAAACGCTACATTTTAGCCACAGTTAGCAACATCATTGAGCAAATTATAGGAGCTCAACAACCTTAATGTTTTAGACAGTTTCAAATTGTCAAAGATTTGCAGACATTTAAAGATTTGATACCAAAAATGTCTGAGACATAGGCGTATCTTAAGTTCGATTAAAGTCAAAACACTGCATTTTTGTAGGGATTTTAAGGAATAAAATCATAAACAACCTCTTCATGCAGTCTTAAAGTCAAAAATAAAAATTGCACAAAATTGAAGCAAGTCTAAATATCCTTTTTATTCTATCTCTTCATCTCCTACACACCACACGCACATAGCATAACAGAGCAAGAGACACAACAAAATATAAGTAAATTCTCAGCGAGGCAACATGCCGAAATTTCAATATTGTTTATATTGTTATCTCGAGCTATCTCGTAAATTTAAAATTTCATTAAATTTGAATCACACAAGATTGTGAGAATTGCTTTGCGTTAATTTGTTTGCTGAGAGATATGAGACCTTGAATGAATTTCCCTTTCCTTTTGCTTTACTTTATTCATGTATTTTGTGTTCTTGTCTGATTGTTTAAAAATGTTAAAGGTTGCACGGAAGTGTGTAGGAAATTCTGAATGAGCTTGGCAATTTTGTGAATTTTTTGTGGCGGAAGTTTGTTAATTTTAATCTGATTATTGTTGGTTTTGTAGAGTTATGTTGTATGTTGGAAGCCTTGGAAGTAATTAAAGTAGACTGAACCAACAATTCCAAATTATAAATCATACAAGCTTTTGGATATGTATGGTTTTTGGGATATAATGATTGGGATTTAATGGTTTGTTCACAAATGATGTCTATTATAATACGTGACTTGCACAAAATACTTAAAATCAACTGTAAACTTAAGTTTAAATTAATGCAGACAATTGCAAAAGAAGCTCTGAGTATCCAGGCTAATTCATCACAGTTACTTCCAATACCAGGAATAACCCTTCTTTTTCTCTAAATAATTGAAGTTATAAGTGAACGACTTTTATGCTTAACATTCAATACTTTTTGGGTTGATAGCGCACATTTTTATGAAAATTGATCTTCTGTTCCATTTTTCCCTTCCAAGAACTCGACTCATTAACACAGAATACTCTTTTACAGCTGCAATACATAAAATATTGATTATACGCCAGAAACCAGAAGCTTTAAAGTTCCATATTCATCCTTTTTCCTCTCCATTTGATTCCGTAAAAGAGGAAACTCGAAATTCATAAAAAATTCATTACTGATTTATTCATGAAAACTTATAGCTGATAACTGTAACGGAAAATGATTCAGCAAACAATAAAATATGAATAAGCGTTGAGATCGTGAAGATTCAGCATAAAAAAGGATAAAAGTTGGTCACAAAATGTGATGCAAATCCTGCAATACCAAAAGTCACGTTTTTGTAATCAGTAAAAAATGCATTTCAGCACATGAATGTTCCAATCGAGATTGATAAACTTTTTTTCTTTTGTGTTTATTCATCCTTTACGGAAACCAAACATGCCACAGTACTCACAACTTTTTTTTGTCTTCTTTTTTTTCAACCCTTCTGCGACGTTTCTGAGAATGGAGAAGAAAAAGAGTCGACTTGAGTGTTAAATGGATGTTATTGCGTTGTGTTTTGTAAAGTATCATTCGATACATTCTCTTTTTGTTGAACTTTAAGGTGATGATGCGGAAAATCGGATCGAATTTCGGTGCAATTATTTGAAAGAATGTGTTTGTAAATATTGTAACGTCATTTAAATCAATAGAAAATGTAAATCTAAGCTGAATTCGGAAAATAAATTTTTGAGGTGGAAATGTAAACAAAGGTTTTCGAATTCGAATATTTATTGTCAAAAATTCGATAATTTGATTTTAATAGCTGCATAATTTGAAATATTTAAAATTAATGTTAAATCTAGCAATTTAAAGGGAATTTTAACTTGGAAATGATGTTGCTAACTGATCTTCCAAAACGATTTAATTCCTTAACAGAATTCTTATATCTCACCTTAACGACCTTTTTTTTAAAAAAATATAAAGCAAATCCCCATTTATTTCTCTTAAAGTTTAATTTCAATGAGGAAAATAATCTTTTAAGAAATCAGTTCCAGCTTTTCAAAAGCACATCTTACTAAGCCTATTTTTAGATGCTAAGAAAATATGACATTCGCATTCTTAGCCAGCAAATCTGTCATATCCAATTTCATCTAAATTGAAAAAATAAAGAAAAATTCCTTCCACACACGAAATGAATTTATTTGGAAGGAATCTTCAAACCACATACTTATGAAGTACACTTATTCATCTTAAGAGGAGAGGATTTTGATTCTTTGTGTTCTTTAAGTCGAGAGATGGAAACTAAAACTTCAAAAGAAATTGAGATTTTTTTGGGACTCAAAATTGCCAAAAGTCTCGAAACAATTTTGCTCTTCAATAAATTCACAAAGTCGGTCGTTAACCTTTCAATTTTCTCTAGCATCTTCATCTTTCATATTTCATATTTCTACCTCTTATTTTTCCCCGCATTCACCCATTCATTTCATTACTGACTTTATGAGTTTCCATCTCTAGCTTTAAACAGTCGAAGATGTAAACAGAGCTACTAAGATATTTAGACGCAATATATATTCATTCCTTTTTCCAAATCTTCTTCTCCTTGCTGCTCTCTTCAATTCTCACACGTGTTCCGTTTGTTTCTTCTTCCTCCGGTGTGTACATATAGATTAGGATTTCTTACATTTCTCACTCTCCATTATTTGCTTTGATAGCACAAATATAAATCGAGATAAGGATCGTTTTAGGTTTGTCTGATTGAATTTTTGATGGATTGTACTTGGATTACTTGGTTTACAACTAATTACCAGGATCGCCAATCCACATTAACAAGACATGATGTTTGACTCGATCTCTCAAAAAAAAAGTACTAAAGGTACACTAAAGATCCCAACTTAAGACCTTAATTAAAGTTATTTAAGTAAAGAAATCAAGGTTTAACAGCATGGTGGGAAAGGCTGAGTCAAAAGATCTTGATTTACAGCTAGAAGAATATAGAAAGCCTTACAGTGGGTTAAAGCTTCATCTCCACAATTCAGGTTTTGTTTCGGAACCTTAAACATCATGAACCCTTGCTACAATACTGGAACAACAGTTGTCTTATTAAAAATGTCTCAAATTCAAGTAAATTTCTTCATTCTTTCCAATAAATGCGCCCTTACCTCATCTCATATTTCATCAAGTCTATCTCGATTTTTCATTTTGATTTCATTCACTGAGAAAAAAAATAAATTTTCTTATTAAGAAATTCTTTTCCTTATTATTCATCCTTGTTCTTATTCTGCTGCTGTTGCTTTTCAATATTGTATTCCCCACACATTCACCTTTCCATCTTATTTCCCCCCCAATGCCAACTCTTACTGATTTTTTTCTTTTTTTCCTTCTTTTTCCACACAGATAAGTCGATTTCTACGGAATTCCAATATAAGTCGAATCAATGATTTAGAAATATTCAGCAAAACGTAAGTATGGTAATGGTAATAGAAAATCAAAACATATGTAGCAGATAGATGTGTATACATATGTTTTACACAAGAGATATAAGATGATGTTGATGCTTTCGATGTTTCGGTAATCGAATCTCATTGTAATGTTTTCATGTGAGGGAATTAATAAGGGATTTTAAGGGTTTAAGTGCCTATTGTGAAACGAAGATGTGAGAACGAGTGAAATTGTTTCATAGGCTTGATTTTTAATGGAGCTATTGTTTCCAATTGAAGAGTATTGGTCTAGTTGTGTGAATATGCTGAAAATTGTTGATTTCTTGATAGTTTACAACTTTATCTCATCAAATGTAATCAAATTTATCCAATTTTCATTCTAAAACGTAATTGAGCAATTCATTCCTCTTCACCTGTAATCTGTTCTTATGGTTATCATATCAACGATATGTGATAAATTCATATATTCATGGAATAGATTGATGATTCCATCTAAACCCACAAAATACAGATCAAGAATATATTGCGAGGCTGTTAGTCTTCGTGATTCAATTTATATATATTTTTGGTAAAAGATGAGATCCCGAGTAGCATATAGCATATGTTGAGGTAAATGTGAGTTTGCTTAATTTAAAGATTAGCTTGTTCTTATACTTCTAATGTTCAGTTGATTGTTGACTAAACCTAAGTTGAACCTAAATCTGAGCAATAACCAAAATACAATCCTTTGAATAGCAAAATTACTAATAATCACAAAAACCACTTAAAGCTATATGCTTCTCGGGGAAAACTGCAATAACCTGATAAGAAAGAATTAATTTTAGTCCATAATTCAGCACAACTTTTGTAGCATTCCAGCATCGGTCTTTCATTGCACAACTACTGCATTGACCCAGCCCAAGCTGAAATAGAATACTCACTTCAGAAATAAATGTGAATGAACAATTCTTTTCAATGCTGACGACAATAGAAGCTGGTTGAAGCCATAAGGAATTATCATTGATTGAATTGAAGCTCCTTCATTCTATTCTCGGATATTAAATCAAACATTTTATGGCTAAGCCATTGTCGAGACAGTTCTCAACAGAAGTATGCATTTTATGAGATTATTTCTTGCAAAGAAAGCAAAAATTGATGTAGAATAAAGGGTGGGAGGAACACATCTGTTTGTTGAACTCAAATAAATATTTTTTTTTATGTTATACCTTCGGAGAAATCATCAACATCCATCACACTCAATTTGAATTTCTTCTGTGTCTTTTTTATATCCAAAAAATAAAAATTTATTTTATGTCTCTTTGCACGTCCACAGATCATCAGAAAATGACTTAACGTTTCATTTCTTCGGTGCCGAAAATGATTCCAATAAGGTACGAGAATCAATCAATCGAATGGTGGAAAAGGGACGAATTGGCAATTTTTCACTTGTATCTACACATTATGCACTACATCAGGAACCTGGATTAGTCTTACAGGTGAGATGATTTATTTATTTTTACCTTTGTAAGCGACTAAATTTTACTTCCATCTCATCTAATTTTGCTTCATGTTGTGTTAACCTTTACATCATCATGGCAATAATAATTTTGTTGTGTTTACAAAATGATGGAGAAGAATTTAGTCGTGTACATAATTGGAGCTACTTGCTGCAGAGTTGAAAATTCATGGATAAAACTTTTTGTAAGCTTTAAAAAACTTTGATTTTTTTGGCTATGTAATTACAAAAATTTTCCAACATTTAATAAAGCTTTTTCACTGAAATGTGAGCTAATTGACATAAAATTTATAGCTTTTTAAAAAAAATTTGAGTTTTTTTGAAAGAATTTTGAGATTTTAGAAAGAATTTTAAACTTTTGAACGAATTTTGAAGTTTTTGAAAGAATTTTGAGCTTTTTGACAAAGATTTTTCAACTTTTGAACGAATTTTGAGCTTTTTAACAGAATTTTGAGCTTTTTGAAAGATTTTTCAACTTTTGAACGAATTTTGAGCTTATTAAAAGAATTTTGAGCTTTTTGAAAGAATTTTAATTTTTTGAACGAATTTTGAAGTTTTTGAAAGAATTGTGAGCTTTTTGAAAGACTTTTGAGCTTTTTGAAAGAATTTTGAGCTTTTTGAAACAGTTTTGAGCTTTTTGAAAGAATTTTGAACTTTTTGAATAATATTAAGCTTTTTGAAATAATTTTGAGCATTTTGAAAAAGATTTTTCAGCTTTAGAAAGACTTTAGAGCTTTTTGAACGAATTTTGAGCTTTTTGAAAGAATTTTGAGCTTTTTGACAAAGACTTTTGAACTTTTGAACGAATTTTGAGCTTTTTGAAAGACTTATCGGCCTTTTTCACTAAAGTGGATTATCCTCGATTTCGGATTATCCACTTCAGTTTTTTGGAAATATCTACAGACGCTTAAGGTTATTAAGAGATCTAATGTGCGATATAATTAGAGTACTTTGCTACTTAAGTTAACATTTACTTAGAGTTTTTATATCTTCTTTGGTTTGAGAATTATAGCAAGGATCGAAGTTAATCTACTAGATTTGGCTAGAAAATTGAATAATTAATACTTCTTAAGGAAAAGAAAAAGTTTAAAGTACACAAAAATTTCAGGCATACTTCACTCTATTATAATCCAAAATTAGAAATACTACACCTCCTATAAAGTTTAAGATATTTACAAAAATCTGAAGTGGATAATCCGAAATCGAGGATAATCCACTTTAGTGAAACAGGCCGTTTAAGCTTTTTGACCTAAACTTTGAACTTCCAACACTGTCTTTCTCACATTTTTCCTTCCTATACGCATCATGTAATTTATCAAAATTTCTGAACCTCCATGAAAATACTCTCCTAATACCTTAAAAATACAGTGTAAATTAAATTTCACATTTCTTGACATGAGAAAACTGTTTTGCCTTCATGCAACATCGAAGGAAGTTGTAGTGTTGAAAAGAAGTAAAAACGAAGAGAAATTTTTTCGGCACATATTTGATGAGGAAAATGTGCTGAGTTTACTTTGACTAAAGAGTGAGTGATGGATGTTAGGCTATGTAAATTAAAATTGAATTTAATATTCAGACGGGAAAAAATGAATTTTTTGACCTTTTTGAATTTTTAAATTATTGTTGCTTAATTTTGAGAGGTAAAGCTTAAAGCTCAGACTTAACATAAATGTGATAAGTTGTGAAAAAGTTTCATAACACATTCCGCAATCATCATTTAAGTTTAAGAGTCTCCCAACTGCATCCAGAATACCACAAGAATGCACTCATAACCTCAAAATCCCATTATTGATGCATACTTGCTCAGCTCCTCTGCTCTTTCCTTTTATGTTCTACACAACATATGTATACGTATGTTCCTTGTTAATTAATTTATTATCTCAAGTAGAAAGTTTTCATAGTAATTCAATTAATATTGTATGAGTAAAATGTTTTTCAGTACATCAAGTGAATACTTAAAGAATTAAAATATTTTCCATAGAGGGAGCATAATAAACTTTTTAAAGGTACAAAACGCGATTATTAATTAGTAAGTTTTAAATTAATACTCTTTATGAATGAACATGAAAGTTTAGAGTTTTTCATGTAGTTTAATGAGCACAACAGTTTAAATTATTAGTTAACGTTTTCATAGATAGTATGTGAAGGTTGTTGCCTTGGAATGGCTTAAACATTTGAAAAATAAAGCTACTATTTAAAATCAAAAAATTTAAAGGGGAAAACAACATAATGGGAAATTGATATGATCCAAAAAAATAAAATCAAATCAGTTTAGTTCCAGTCATCAAATAATTTTTGGGATTTGAACCCAGGTCCACAGCGTAAAAGATTGTCTTTTAATCTATAGACTACCATCACATCTTTTTATTTTAAATCCTTACAGCACATCCAACTCCAGTTTATGCAAAATCTTAAACATATTTAAAATAAAAAGTTTTTTTTATCAACTAAGATTTTAAAGCTTTTCTTTACTATCTTAATACTTAACAGCTTTCGTGATTTTATTTAATTTCATTGAATTTTTCTGCAACGTGTTCCATTAAGTTCATTAAAATTTAGATTCAGTTTTCTAGATAAGCATCTTTTGTTTTTATTTGTGTTGTAGCGAAACCTTTTTGTGTTAATTAAAGTAAATCCTCAGCTTTAAGATTTTTAGCTTAAAGGAATGGAACATTTTGGACTCAAAAACGTGAAAATATTAATTAGCAAATATTTTATGAAAGTTTACAACATGCGGAAGGCAAATTTGTTCCATTGAAAATTTTTGACAATGAACATTTTTTTTATAAATCTAGTTTGTGCTTTGGGGATTTTATTGTGAGAAATTAGATGAAAATCGTCACCTGTCTAGTTCTTCACATAATTAAAATTTCGAAATCTTCATGTATTATGTTTATACCGAAATATCATGACTTAATTGTTTGTTGCTTTAAGAATTACAAATCAATTTATTGAATGCTTGTTTAAAGGTGTTATCTTTTACACTGTTAATTTTAATTACATTTATTGATTTCTTGATAGGTAATACAATAAGCTTTAATTATCTGATATCACATTTCATAATTAAAATGCCATGAATCGTATAAAAGGTAATCATTGATAATCCAAGATTGAATTTGAATTCAATAAATTTGATTGGGCTTTAGATACAATTTTCATAATTAAACTACTAGAGTTCTTAAATACATATTAAAACTTTCAAATCATGCTTAAAATTATATATAATTGTAATTAAATACAAAAAAATAAAAATAAATTTGTTCACTTATAATGACTTGTTCATTAAGGAACGCAACTTATAAACTTTCAAATTTTAATCAATTTAAGAATTAAAAGCCTAATTCCATTTCCTATAACTGGGTTGTTGTGAAACATCATTTTCGATTATAAGTGTCCAGTAACTTGTTCAATCACATTTCATATTTGTAAAAGATCATATTAAACATTAAGTTGTTATCCCAGGAAATTGAAATAAATGAAACATAAATGAAAACCATAATTGAGCTCTTAGAAAACATCAAGTGCTTCTTATATCCACATTTCAATTGATAAAGTTGATTATAAAATTGAGTTTACTTCTAAGAAGATTTTATTCGACTTCAATAATTTTCAATTTGTTACAAGATTAACAATGCTTTTGCATTAAGCTTATCAACTCTGCTTCCTAAAATTCTAAAAAGCTCAATTATCTTTTAATAGGCTAATTTCGAAAACCAAAATAAACGATTTCCTTCAACAACATGAGAGGTCGTTCATCTATGACGTCCAACATTTAGGGGGGGGGGGGGGGGGGGGGGGGGGGGTTCTGAAGCTGTGTGACACCTCAATACAAAAGATTTTTTTGTGACAGAGGGGGAGAGGGGGGTTTAAAAATCTCATTTTTGAAGGACGTCATAAGTGAACGACCCTTGAATGAATTTCATAATAATTACAGAATTATATATTCTGCTTGAAGCCTTGTCAAATATTTTGGATGCTCTTTCGAATGCAGATTTTGTTTATTCAAAGTGTCAACAACACAAAATAATGATATGGGGTTATTTAAAAATGATGTTTAACTTTTAAAAGTAATTTGGGGAAGAAAATTTGAGCAATCCATGCAAATTATGTTTTAAGAGGTCAAAAAATCTCATTTTTAACTGACGTTACTTTTGAAGCCACCCATCGAGATAATTTCATTAATTTTATTGTGTTTTATTTGATTTTGTGAGGATTATATTGTTTGATATCAAATGTTATTATAGCTGTGAGTTAATAATAATTTTCTGGTGAATTATCACAAAATTATATGCTGTTTATGAGGTGATATGATATGTTTGTGGACCAATTATGACTAATTTTAAACAAACTTTAAAATTATTGAATTTTTAATTTTTTTTTGAAATATTTCATATTAAAGCTAGGATGAGATAAAATGATTTACCTTAATAATACTCAAAAAGTATGAACTGGAGAACACCAGAAAATTATAAAGTTAAGCTTGCTTAAAACAGCAGTCATCAATGCTAAATTAATAATAAACAGCTTAATTTTCTGGATTTAATAAAATAGTTTCCCATTCTTCACTTGTCTTTACTTTAAGTTGACCTCTTTTCATATTTTTATTTGGAATCAATGGTTCGAATTCAAGTTCAAAAATATTAAGCTCCTGTGCCTGTCTGTCCTTTTGAAATCAAATACAAACTATTTTCGATCCTCAAACAAAGTAAAGTTTTTTTCAATGAAATGATTTTGGCATTTATAAAAAGTGTCCATTGAAGCTTTCAACTTTGCAGCATTATTTTCCAATAATTTTCATACAATGTGTAGAATTTTCCATCACAATACTCAATGCTCCTCGATGCAATTAAATTTGTACATTCACAGAAACCACAACAAACTAAAAAATACTTTTTTTTTCTACCTTTCTTTTTCAGTCGCTGGAAGCAAAACCAAAATCTCCACAACGGGAAGGAGATGACCTAGTTTTAATATGTACAGCTCATGGATCGCCGAGAACAACTTTTAGTTGGTTTAAAAATGGATTTTTATTGAATGTTACCCGATCAATACGGTTAGTATATATTTTATTCCTCAAGTATTTCCTACAGCATACGTTTAAAGCATCTCTAGATTTTTTTTGAATTCCTTTTCATCCTCATATATCTTCTATTTCCACATACATTTAACAAAATTGGTACTGATACAGATTAGAAGGAAGACATGGAAAAAAAGAGTAATTTCCTCTATGATGAAAGGTCGGTTGATTTTGTTGGTCAGTTCTTTTTTGAGGGTTTGAGTGCCTTTAACAATTATCTTTTATCCGAAAAGTTTATGTCACTTAAATTCAATGAACGTTAAAATTTATTTCTATTTATGTGACTATCTTGTGGGACGGCTTTAAGTGGCTGACAATCGAAATTGAAATAGGATTGATTTAATTTATGAGATTTTCGAGATTTATTGAATCATGTGGATATTCTTACATTGAATTAATGAAATTGGATTTAACTTTGATTATAATCGTTTTGTTGCTGACAAAGGCATAATCAGGTAGAAGGAGACTTTTAAGTTTTAATTCACTTTGCTAGACTGAAAAATTAATTTTGGTTCATTGTCAACTTTGAATGTTGCTTTTAGTAAAGGCTATAGACTATTGAGATTGAAATCATATCTATGAAAGTTCCATACTGAACAGGGCAACAGAAAGTTTGATGTACAGTAATATATTGTAGCACAGCGTTCAGACAGATAAAGATACAGCGGACAAAAGAACAAAGAGTCTTAATTTAACCTTAAATCCTTAAAATAATTATGAATACTAAGTCTGAACATCCACGAAAAATTATGTTTTAGACATCAAAGTGAGTCTAAAATTAAATTAATTCAACTCCATTCATTCCTTAAAAATTCACTCATGAAAGAATGTTTAAAGGTATTCCAAATCCGTTCAACTCAACAACCTAAAATGACAGGTCAAGGTTGAACATAATATGCTACATGAAACAAAATGCAGCCCTACAGGCTCTGAAGAACAAAATAATAAGAATCTTAAGAAAAAAAAGAAAGTTTGTGAACGAAGAAGAAAAAATTTTCATCCTTTTTGTTCCATTTGAAAACATCATGTCTGACTATGTTTCTTGTTGTGTGTGCAAAAACACTGTGAACAGATAATAGACATGAAACTCTTGGTTAAATAAACTCATAACATGAAATTTATTTGTCAACTCATGCATTCTAAACAGATGAGAGACAAGGGGGTGACATTGTGTCTTGACTGGTTAAGTTGTCTTGGCTGAAGCACAATCAAGGTTAAAACTGACGAAAATTTTGAAGATTTTTGCTTTCAGTGGCCCTGAAAAACGTTGTTACTCGAGACTTAGGGTGCGGGATAATCAATTCAAATTTCTAAAATCCAGCAATTGTCATTATTCAATGCAACAAGACAAACCTCAAGAAAAACAAACAAGACAACAGCAACTGTTGTCACATTCATAAAGCAAAGAAGACCAAAAACTTGTAACTTTGTTAGGATTTTTTTTTGACATTTTTTTCTTCTCTTTTTTATCAACCATGGAAACCAAATTGAACCCATAAGGTTTGAGGAAATCTCATAAAGTTAAGCAAAACAGAAGGAATTTTTTAACAAAAACGAACCCTCATTTGACGGAGATGAACAAAATGTTTTTCTCACTTTGCAAACAAAGTTTTGAATAATCAAGCGAGAAAAACAGCGAGTGACGTTGTTGGATGAACAAAGTTAAATCTTCGGGAAGTTTTTAATTGGGGTTCTTAATAAATGATGAAAATGAAGATAAATGTGAGGATTTGAAGACGATTAGACATTTTTTTAGACAAAATTGCTTATTAATGTGTTGAATAGTAGTAAAAAGAAAGATGTCAAGTTGAAGGCTAATCTACTAGTGCGAGAGTAGAGCCTCTTTGGTCGAGTGGTTAGCCAAAAGAATGGATTTCTGTAACACTTAATTGTGAGGATATGGGTTTGATTCTCACCCGAGAACGATCTTATAATCATTACATAGAAGATGTGATGTCGATATATGGCAAGAATTCACTAGGAACAGGAAATTTAATCAATTTCTGATGATTCCCTTTAATAACCAATTGTTTAAAATTTTAAAAAAAAAACTCTATAGTCTATTGAGTTAATGATGCTTTTTCTACATCAAATCTCATTACCATATCCTTTCTATTAATCCATTTTTATTTTTTCACAGAAAAATTTCCATACAAAGGAAGTATGATGAGGGTAGCAGTAATATAATATCTGTGATGAGATTAAATTCAACAGAACAACATGATAGCGGTCACTATACCTGCCTGGTAAGATTTATCATTCAATTTTTTATAAGAGTGAATATGAAGTGAAGTCACACATGCATAAATGGGATGAGATTGTCGGAAAAAATGCTTGAAAATATTATTTTAATTTTGCCTTTTTTGAGATTTTGCAAATTGGAATTTTTAATTCAAATGATGGCCAAAGGCTCAACATTTTTAAAAAATTTATTAACGCACTGACGTAAGCATGCATTAATTAAAGAAGTAATTTAAATGCAAGTCAACAAAGTTGATAACAGCTACATTAATTTAATATTTCAAAGAAAATTCATAAAAAATTCATTAGCTTTCCGCCTCAACTTTATGATTAATTTATGAGGTACAAAATGTGAGCAGAGCTTTTTTTATTTAAGCAAAAAATAATGTTGGAGTGATAATTTTTTGTAAAAAATTGCAATTAAATTAATTCTGAATGAATCAAATTTTAGAGGCAAAAGGAAAGTTTTTAAGGGATTTTGATCCAAACTTACAACTACTAGCCCTATTAGGGTGTAAGAATACATGACGAGATTGGAACAAAAAGTTTCATCTCGAACCTTGCATCAATGATGCTTACAAACATCAATATTTCCGAGAAATTCAAATTATATAGGTTCCAACACTAGCTTTCTCGATGCGGTTTCCATATTGCAGCACTAAGTTGTAGCCTTTATCATTTGTGCCGCTCGGGTCTTCCAAATGTATTCATAGCTAATTCATGAATGTGCCTTGTAGAATTGTGTTTTAAGGTCAACTTAAAAAAGTATCCTCAAATTCGAAGAACTGACAAAAAATCCTCCAGCTTTTTTCTATAAATAAAAACAAACCCGCAATTTTAATCCGATGTTCATCCAAATCAATACCAAAATTGTCCTTAAAATTTGAATTTTTTCACTTTAAAATCACCTTGAAGCGTTATTCCAAAATTTATTTGAATTCATCTGATCCTTGCCATTCTTCATCGTAAAGCCCAATAACATTCATATCAGCATAATAATCATCCATCCTTGAGAGAGGTTTTTTGTGAATATTTTTTCATTTTCTCTTCCTCGATAGAAGCCCCAAAAAATAAAAGAAAAATCAACTCCGTCCCTTTTTTCGCATTAACAATATTTGAAATGCAAATAATAATAACAACAATGGAATGAAAGGCCGGCAAACAAAAGCAAAAGCAAATGAATATGTTTTTTAGGAACATGACACTTACAGATTTAGGTGAAGGATGTATGAATAAATCATGTTTGAAAGTTGATTTCCATTCTCGGTGTCTCGATTATTCTTCTGCCTAACTCATACAGAAAATGTCTTTATTTTATTTGAATGGTCTGTTCTTGGCTCACGCATAAACACACACACTTACAGCCTAAATAACTCTTTGCTCTTGAATTAAAATGAGGAAGTAAGGAAATCAGAATAAAGCAGGGAATGAAGCGCATTTTGATTTGAAACAGTTAATATTGTCAAAAATAACAGTCAAAAGATTATTTAAAAATTTAACTTTCAAAAAATATTTAAAAGAAATCCAAATTTTTTTTAAATTTGACTGCCAAAAATATTCAAATAATTTTGAAACAAATTCAATTCCAAAATATTTGAACAGCTAGACAAATATCAATCCATAAACCTCTCATCTTTTCAAAAAAAATTCTACAAATAAAAAAGGTTTAAAAATCTATACCGAAAGAGGAAAATAAAAAGTTTCATTGAATTTGAAAAATTCTTCTTAAATTGAATTTTGAGTGCTGTGCAAATTTCCATTCCTCTTTTACTCAACACGACCAGAGGAGTTACATAATGGACCGTTCTTGTTGTTGAGGATCTCTCATAAATATTCAATTAAGTTGTTCTATTTTACTTGGTAAATAATTTAAGCAAAATGTTAACGGAATCAGTTTTAAAGGGCATTTTTGAGGAAAGGATTTTTTTGAGTAGACTTTTGAAGAATTGGTTTAATGGACTGAGGAATTTTTCAATTAATTTGGTTAATTGAATTCAATATCAATCAAAATTGATGCTGAAGCTGAAGTCTCCAGTTTTTTTCATTTAATTTTGGAGTGTGCATGCTTAATCTTTCACTTATACTACACAGCATCCAACATGAACATCAGTTATTTCAGTCAATTCAGTTCACTCAGCTAGAGGCTTTTAATATGTTAAAAATCAAAATTTTTATAATTTGTTGGAAATATGAAATGCTAGAATTTTGTGAAAACTGAATCTAGACATTCCTAATCGTGCTGTGGATTTCAATTAAAAAAGTTCCTAACATTCAACATTTTACGATTCCATCGCTTAAAGCATTTAGTTGTTACAAAAACTCAATCAATTCATTCTCATATTTAAAATTGAAATGCATTTAGATACAACACAAACAAACAGTCAGCTAAATCTATTCAAAAAACTTAATGACAATATTTTCTATTCAACCAAACAAATCCAAAACTTTTATTGTCAATAAAATGCACAGAAATTTTCTCATTGTCACTTTCTTTTATGCCCATGGGTCGTATCATTGAATTGTGGATGTTAACAAAGCGAAAGCTTTAAAGATCTCATCATTCTTTCCATCTCCTATTTTAGCTTATAACAATACGCAGCACAATAATAAAAGAAAAGCTTTGCGGATGATGAAATGGAGGAAGCATGAAAAAAAAATTCTCATAAATGCTTTCAATTTTTCATTTTTTCTCATCACATCGTCTTTACTTTTGAGGCATGAAAAGGAACTGGGTTGGCTGGATTAACGTAAAGCTTTTGTTTTGGTGGTGATGATTTAATTCTTATGAGGTTGATTAGCTGTAAAGCTGAATTGGAAATTTAATTTTTTTGATGCAAATAATATTTTGTGATTTGGTTGAACTTTGAGGCTGGTAAACGCTACTTATTGGATGTAGTTTAGGGGGAGTAGAGTCAATTCATTTTATTTTCACAGCTTAGACCCAAACAGAACGAAAATTCTTGCTAAATTCAAAATTGTAACACTTTACAAGTCAACAGCAGCATCTGTCTTCATCCTCATCAAAAACTAGCAAATAATTCAAACTTTCAATAAATCTCAACACCCTGTCTATAAACTTTTCAATCCAAACTTATAAAGTAAACAAAAAACTAGAAAGTTTATATGAATTTAAAGAAGACATAAAGACCTCACATTTTATTAAATTTTCCCTTCTTTTAGACTTATAAAATTCACATACGCCATACACAAAAGGCAGTTTATATGCTAAGGAAAAAGGCGACACAGGAAAAGTTTCCATTCATGATGTAAAGCTCTTCTCTTATTAGATTTATATGATTGTTGCTGTGAATAATATAGACCATGCTGTTTTAAAAAGTCGTTTTTCTGCCTCATTGCTTTTTTCGGGATGGCTTTTTTTGTGGAGATAAACATGAATCAAGGGAATATGTGGTTGTAGTTTATCTGGATGTCCTTTTTGGTTTCCAATCTGCAAGCTAAAACAAGAATTGTTTAAATATGCAGCTTGGTTCTTTACTAAGTTTCTCAAATTTTCTAAAAGTTCAAATTTTGGAAATATAAATAAAAATTTCATAGAAGCTTAAATAAAATCCTTTTTGCTCCATCGTAAAGACTCGATATCAATTAAAATTAATCAAAATATTATTTTACACTCAAAGTTATCAGTTTTTAAAAATTTGATATGGAAAATCCATGAGAAAAAAAAACAGTCCAAAGTCAGTTTGTTAAGAAAATTTTAAACATTTTTGATGAAAATTCCTTAAAAATTAAATAATTTTTAAGACAAAAAAATTTCCATCAAAATATCAGCTTACATAAACCCCCAGAAGCGCACCAAGTCACTTAACCTTTTAAGTAACAATCTCCCAAACTCATACTACAGTATTCAAGTCTCTTCATTCGCCTTCAATGAGGAAGCAATTCTCATTTTCTCTTTTGTATGATGATAAGTTGTATAGATTTAATTTATGGCACATAAGGGAGATGTGCTGCCTCTTTATATTATGCGAATATTCCACTCTTTTTTTTAAAAAAAAAGGAATGAAAAGAAAAAAAAAACGAATGTTATGACTTCATAAAATAACTAGTAGACATCAAGCATATTCCTGTATCAGCACAAACGAGTGGAACTGTATACATAAAGCACACAGAAAAAAGAGGAGATGAACAGCCACAATATTCATGAAGTAGCGTAAAATGTAATATATGTCGCATTATACACAGGATAGAACTAGAAAAAAAGAATTGGAAAAAAGCTCTCATACGTACAATGTGAATATTCTCTCTATGTATATAAATATTCAGCGTGATCGCACATGCAGTGATTTATGGTAATCTTATGATAATTCGCTCTGTTTTTTTGCTTTTCACGACTCTTTTTTGCATCCAGCAATTTTTTTCCTGTTTAACATGGAGAGTCCATAATGTTCATGTTGTAAAATGAATTAGCTGAATGAATGTCATTCGTCGTGTATGTACATTTGTCACATCATCGCGTACACGAAAACAATGGAAAATGATGATGAAAATGATTTGGGGATAAATAATTGAGGCGCATTTTTCGATGGACTTGAAGCTCGTCATTTTATATCATCTACAATATTAAGCTTGACTGGAGCTCAGTTTTTGATTGTATGCAACATATATTTAAGCTTTTAAACCTTCTGTGTGATCAGTAATACTCATTTGATTGATATCTGAACAGAGTAGAGTTTAAAGTTCACTTCTTACTTATATTGTTCTTTTTGTGAACAAATCGAAGACTGGGAGAATATGCAATACGTATACTATAGAAAATGCACACAAAGATAAAGCTAAACATATCCACACCTTTAATAATGCACTACCTAACCTATAAATTTTGAAAACTGAGGCTTAAGTCCAGACAACCAAACCAAACACTAAAATCTCATTCAACCACTGCAGTAGTGCAAAGTAATGACAAAAAATTCATAACATGATGTCAGTGAAAAATTTTAGAGTTATAGAGACGATGATAGGATGGATGAATGTATTAACAACGAGA